TATAGCATGTTTTTTTATATTATTAAATAAACTGCAGAAACCATTATAATAAACGAACCATGCATATGTATATAGTTTTAAAAGCATATAAATTTGTATTCTGTTTTATTTTATTTGAGCCTGCAAAATATTAAATAGGTTATGCAGATACTTACGTTATTTATTGAAATAACTAAATAGTAAAATAATGTGTTAGATAAGGAGCATATCAGTAGAGGACTCATAGAAGAAAATGGTAGAAAAGTAAACATTTAGAAATTGAAGTGAACTCAGTGAAAATAGATTTAATATCTTATATGTATATAATCGGCTATAGTACAGAGCATGCCGTGACAATCTTTTAAATTTGAATGCAACCGCGCCTAATTATGGAACATGGGCAAAACACACGGAGTACGTCTCGCCCCCCCTTTTTGGAAACAAGGTCATCCATTGAAACTATGGTAATGATCAGTATAGGATAGAAGTATGTGGTATATGAAACATACATACAGCCTACTTTTAAAACCGATATCGACTGGACTATTAGGAATAACAAAGAGAATGTTAAATTTTTGCTTTATCTAAATTTTTTGTATCGTTTTTTGTAAGTTTTAAGCACATTAGTGTATCTATTTTACGAAACGCGCGTTGGTTCTTCTTAAATACTTCCAAATCCTTGTAAAAATAAATTAATTTGAAGTTGTTCATTTCTATAATATCCATGCCATATAAATAGTACACAAGGATCAGATTCGGTCTGTACAATTTAATTTCAGTTATGACGATTTGTTGCGCGTTACCTAAATATGTGACGTCACACTAAAAGAGTCTATTGTAATGCAGGCATTAATATTGTCGTCGCCCACAAAGTGGACAAATAATTCACTTCAATAATAAGCGTAATACTGATATATGTACATAGTTTTTTGTAATATCACACATAAAAAAAGATATTCCCTAACTCTATTCGAAGTAACTCAACCTCCCGCGCTAGGGAAGAAGCCCAAAGTCCTCAAAGTGGAAGACACCGCGGCTACCAGCGAATCCTTGAATTTCCACATCGTCGTGTCCTTTACCCTCGTGTTACGGTACACGTCGCAGCCCTTTAAGGTCTTCATGCAGTTCCCTCGATAGTGGTGCATCCTGGCGTCGTTAGGGTCGATGGCGTAGTTCCTACAACCGTCGCCTAGGCAGCTGAGCGGGAAGTGGTTGTGCAGTGCGATCACCTTTTCGGTGTTGTGAAAGCTTTTGATGTTAAAACCGGGTTTGGTGTAGTTTTCGGTGCGGTAGACGTGTTGTAACATGTACATGTATCTGAAACGTCGCAGAATTGTAACAAATTTTAAAGACGGTACATAAGTGGGTGAAATGAAGTTGACTTCTTTTGTGACTTTGTTTCTGTCGCCGATAAAATAAAGGTATAATCGTGAGTGTCAGATTAGTGACGAATTAGAGAGATTTGTAGACACATTGATCTCATTCAGACCTTTTAGGTGTCCCTGGATGGAGAAGCCTGACTATATAGGGTCGTAATAATTAATAATACAGGGTGGCCAAATGAAAACGAAACAGAGCCATTTTCAAGAACTGCGTCAAGATTGTAGAAAAACGCTCATACCCGTCGATTTTAGATTAAAGGGGGACATTCTTCTCCGCCATTTTCACCCCCAAGCAAGGGTAAGAATTAACCCAAAATATTTAAATGGCATTGGGGGTTGAGTAATATTTCTTTTGAAATCTCTTAGAATTCTCTTTACAACAGACTTTAAATTTTATAATTCCGTCCAATACTTAGGTAGGATTAAGAATTTTGATTTTAAAGTTGAAACTTATGTACAAACAATTAGTAACGGTAAAAATGTCAGTCATTCGAGTTAAGTACGCCAATAGTATAAATTTAGTATTTCTTGCGTTACATTGTTTTTGTCGATTTGTAATCACTTTCGTAAAAAAACACAATCGTAAAAAACAGAAATGAATGCTATACACACACAATGAACGTAAAATTAGTGGATTCCAAATTATTTTCTAGTATTATTTGGAAGCGTTGGTTGGTAGTTTATTTAATTGTGTCTTTGAAAATTAAACACTATGGTTTATTTCATTGCGGAAAGTGTAGATACCGTTTCGCTTTACTTTATGAACAATAAATGTGCGAATAGAACAGCTCAGCTATTTAATGAACAACATCAAGATCGACATGTCAGGAGGAAGTATGTTCTAGAGTTAGTAAAAAAATTTCAAGAGACAGGGAACGTAGCCAATAAAAAACGAGAAATTGAAATATCTATAGTTAATGAAGCTAGTGAAGTTGCAGTTTTGGGACAAGGTCATCTTGATCTTACATTAAGTACAAGGCAGCTGGCATCTGTGTCTGGGATCAATCGAACTAGCATACAAACCATTTTTAAGAAGAATAAATTCCATCCATACAAAATACATTTAGTCCAGGAACTTCATGAGGATGATTATGACCGCCGTTTGCAATTTTGCGAAATAATGAGTGAACGAGCAGGGAACGATCCACAGTTCCTTTTTAACATCTGTTTTTCTGATGAATGCAGTTTTTTCTTGAACGGGACGGTAAATCGTCACAATTGCCGCTATTGGTCCGATTCAAACCCAAGCGTTTTTCACGAAGTGCATACACAGCAACCGGAAAAATTAAATGTATGGGCTGGAATTTTCGGTGACCGGCTGGTGGGTCCTTTTTGTCTACCTGGTAATTTGACTGGCCAAATGTATTTGCAATTACTGGAAGACGCTATTGATTGATTTTATTGAAAATGTTCTAAAGTATGACGAATAGATCATTTGATTTTTCAACAGGACGGTGTTCCTCCGCGTTATGCGTTAATTGTCCGTCAGTATTTGGACCAACGTTTTCTACGGAATTGGATTGGGAGAAGAAGTAGCATTGAGTGGTCTCCACGATCACCGGATTTAGCGCCCCTTGATTTATTTTTGTGGGGATATCTAAAAAGGAAAATCTATAAAACACAGCCAGCGTCGCTGGAAGATTTGCGTGAAAGAATCATCGACGAATGCCGTCGAATCACTCCGGAAATGCTTCGGAATGTACGCGAACGTTTCGAACAAAATCTTTATTCTTGTATGGAAGCGGGCGGTCATCAGTTTGAACATTTAATCAACTAAGTAGTAAGTAAGCAACTAAACATAATTTAAATATTAAAATGTAAATTTTTTTCAAAATATATTAAAAGTTATATTATAAAATCTAAAGTCTGTTGTAAAGAGAATTGTGAGAGCTTTCAAAAGAAATGTTACTCAACCCCCAATGCCATTTAAATATTTTGGGGTGATGCTTATATCCTTGCTTGGGGGTTTAATCTAAAATCGACGAGTCTGAGCGTTTTTCTACAATCTTGACGCTGTTCCTGGAATTGCTCTGTTTCGTTTTCATTTGACCAACCTGTATAATATAAAAATACTAAATTATTAATTTGAAGAACTGATTTTAGTTATGTCATCACTTCGCGATCTTTCTCTAAGCACCTTTGGTAGATTAATCGCTATTTATTAGTGACAAGGTATTCTGTCATAAAATGCAGAGAGTTTTGGAACCACTTTAAGGTAATATGTTACTTATTAAAAGACCTAATTAGCGAATTTATTCCAGTTAAAGTCTCCACTCTCGAGTAAATGCTACAAATTACAAACATACCTTGGTATGTCCTCAAACGTGTCGTTGTCGTGGATCAAGTCGTCCAGGAAATAAACGTTTCGCGCGTTAAACGAACCCCTCTCCCCCTTGCCGTCCTTCAGGGCCTTGGGTAGAATCATCTCCATCAACTCCTTCCACGTGGCGCCCTTCACGGGCACTATCACCTCGTCGATATCCAGCAAAGCTATGTACTTGTACTGGTACATGTGCTTGTAGAAACAGTCGTTATAGGGAATGAGCTCGTTCAGGCGCTTTTGAACCAGTTTCTTCTTGAGGTAGAGATGCTGGAAAGAAGGCAAGTTCGGCTGGCCCGCCGCTAGGTTGGTAGGAGTCACTTCCACCTGAAGAAGGAACGAGAAATTCAAGGCCAACCTTTCTTGACGTGTCAGATTCTTACCACTCCTTCTCGTTCGTAGTGTGTCAACACCTTGCTGATATTCCGGTGCACCTGCAACTCGTAAAAGAAGATTTTATCAACCCCTAGAAGTTTCATGATCTCGATCCACTCGACTAGTCTCACCGACAGGTCTTCGTGCAAGAAATCCAGTCCTTTGACGCACACAGCAAAGTCCTTTTTCGTCTCGGGTTTTTCATAGAAGACTCTCAAGTTATTGGTGGGGGTATCGCACTGCTTCTCCACCAAAGAGATAGACTTAGGGGTGCTGTTTAGAAATTCTTTGGGAATGATACAGGCGATAAGGTAAGGCTGGTACATGCCTTGCTTGAAGGTTCCCCATCTTTTGTTCCTAGAATAATTGGTTATAGCTTTGTTTTGGTTCCGACAGAGGACGGTTCAAATTATGTAGTTACTGATATAGTCCAGGGAACCAAAAATTTTTCGGATAGAACCGATTGACGTGAAACTTGAACGGTAAGTGGAAAATCGCTCAAGAAACAAAAGTTATATAGTGCCGATGAGCGCTTTTGCCCAGGGGATGGACGCCACACCTTCTAGGGGGTGAAAAATAAAATATTGAACATAACCCCAGGAATCTATAAAGCAATCAATTTTAAGCAAAAAGTTTCTTATGAACATTTTTCAATAAGTCGATATTTTCTTAGTTATTGGTGATTGAAAATGTACATTTTTTATTAAAAAAAGACGTTTTTCAGTAGTTTTTCTCGAATAACTCGGAAAATATGCATTCTATGAAAAGAAAACATCACAAAGAAAATGAAGCTTACAGAAAAAGAAAAAGACTCGAGTTTTTTTTTCATTTATGTAGGTACAACAGGTGCTGATTGTGATATATGGCTGGTTGAAGATAATTTCATGTCCGCCAAAAACTAAATTGGAAGTATTTAATGTAAAACAACTAAAAATAATTCTATTTTTCAAGAAAAATGTACAGTACATTGTTTAAAGTACTTTAAAAAATCTTTTAAATGAACTTGACTTTAAGTCATTAGCATAAAAATTAACAGAGTTATGATCAAAATAAAACCGTTAATTCGCTATTTCGGAAAAAAATCGTTATAAAAACTGATTAATTTTTCACGAGATTTAAAATTAAAGATAATCCTTCTACAATTTACATTTTTTATGTGCTAACAATATATTATACAAGTTTAAGTGGTTTAGAATGCATATTTTTGAAAATATTACGTTTTGATGGAAAAAAAAATTAACTCCAAAAAAATTACATATTTTTGAAAATAACTTTAAAAATAAAAAGATACGTAAAATATTCAAGAGTACAAAGGTTCAGATTTTTTTTTCACAGAATACTTTGGCTATTTTTTATTTGTGTAGGATAAAAATTAACAGAGATGTCGCTGCTAGAAGTTTGCAGTTGAGGGCGAAGGTTATGTTTTTGAAACCTTTTAATCTCAAAAATCTCAAAAAGAACGCTTTAAAAAATATTCAATTTTACAGTACTTTTAGCTGTCGAAATTTTCCGTAAAATCGTTTTTGGATCGTCTTAATAGCTCTAAAATTAAGGGAGTTATCGTTAAAAAACCAACGGTACCCTATATCTTCAATTTTCGGAGCATATCAATATTTTGGTTATCCACAACTTTGGAGCATTCTATATACATAATATTTATTCTATTAATAATTCTACTTATCACTTTAAATGTATACAATTGTTCTCATTTGTATAATGGAGGGTGATTTTTAAGAAACCCAGTGATCTGATAAACATTGTGGGAGGGCATTATAATTCATTTTAAATAATTTAAAGGCCATTTTTTTATACTTTGTCATTGGAGGTGATCTTGAAGGGTTAAAACAATGCCATAAATTATAAATTGTATTATAAATAGGTAAAAGAATTTATCCTATTTGTACTATCAAATCATTTCAAACTATTAAAAACTATTTTTTTTAAATATTTTGTTATTAGGGATAGTTTTTTAAGGGTTGAAATAGTGTATTAAATTATTTATAATGCCATAAACTATTAAAAAGATTTCTATCTATAATATATGCACTATAAAAATATTTTAAGGTCAAAGAAACTATTAATTTTATATTTTTATCATTAAGGGTGGTTTTTAAGGGTTGAAACTATATAATAATAACGTAAATTATAACCCACAATATAAAACAATATTTATTCTATATGGGATGGGGTTACTTTGGTAAAAATAAAGAGTTATCGAATAATATTTCATTTGCATTAGTCTCAAATCTGTTATAAAAATAACCTCAATATCGGTTTTCTCCGAACCATCGGTTCGTCCAGAGTTTTTGCTAAAATATATGTTAGTTTTTGAAAAATTAATTCCTGAAGACTAACACAAAGTTAAACTGCGAGTGGGGTTACTTTGTCCACCTCATTAATTTTCTTGATATTTGACAAGTAACCCCTTATTTTTACCCAGGTATGAAAAATATATATCCGAAACAATCTCACTGAATGACAAGAAAAAAATTTAACTTATAAATAGCATTAAGACACCAGAAATTAGAATCTTAGTGATATATTAACGAAATATTATCTTTTACGGTATAAAAATATTATTTAACTCTTATACAAACGTAAAGTAAATATAAATATAGTATTCTGCACTAAAAAAATAACAGTTTTTCTTTGCGCAGTTGTAAGTTCTTTAAATAATGTTTTGAACGAAACAATAACGGCTTCTTATTAAGAATAGGTTGCCCTAACTTAAATCTTATCGCAGACTTTGATAATTTTCAAAATTGCCCCACTACATCGATCAAAGTTACCCCATTACCCCGATCAAAGTTACCCCACGACAGAATATTTAAATTTTCGGCCATATTTACTATGCAATATTTTTCAGTTTTTAATATCCTAATGGGTTAACATGGTTATACAGCAAAGACTATAAATTACTTTACTCCTAGTGCCTGTTTCTCTTGTGCGCTTGAAGTTATATTGGCTTCAAAAAAGGATAAAATATCGTTTTTTAAATAAAAACACTCTACAAACATTACTGGTTCACTGAGGAACGATTAGACATGATCGCGTTAACTATGCGGAGTTGCCATATTATGATATCTGCCTAATATCTCGAGAAATGTCGGAAGGAAGAATATAAAATAAGATCATCAATGTTTCTGTCAAAGTAGCCCCTGAAATTGAAAGTAACCCCATCCCACGGTATTAAGATATAATTTGAGTCTATATAACACCTCTATTTTTATATTTATTCAGTTTTTAAGGGGTGGTTTTCATCCCCTAAAAATAAGAAGCGCATATCAAGCATATACAACTTTTCATCTACAGGGTGAAATAAGCTTGATTCTAAATTTTCATAAAAATCGGATCTATCCGAAAGTATTCGGACGTTTTACCCTATTTTTCTCTTTGTTTCCTTGACTAATACTTGGGTAGCCGTTCTAGGACTGTTGTTTGACAAAACCAAACAAGGCTTATTAGTGCAAAGGAACAGCATTTTCTATTTATTTCCACTCATAACTCTTTTAGCTGTGATTTCGTGATGATAATTTGAAACTACGTACTGTGATTAGTTAACATTGAAAATTTATTTGATCGTCCTTCGAAATAATGCAAACAAATAGACTCTTTATTATTCGAAATAAGCACAGGATACATATGTTTAGTGTGCAAATAGATCGCAAACGCTGCGAGATTTTGACGAAAATTTGTTAAATTAAGTCTAATTACATCAGCTAAATACAACTCTAGTGTTCTGTTATCTGTGATGTAACACATTCATATCACATATTGTTGGTTAGATAACATCTAGATGTATAAACAGTTTGCTGAGCTTAAATGCAAAGTTCCACTCCGGAATAACAATAGATGGCAGTCGCATTCTGGCGTTGACAATTTATAGTCGAGACATTCCGTGGATCGTGGATCTAATAGTATACTATATTAGATCTGAGGCATTCATATGAAATAGAACATATGGATTCGATTATGATTGCAGTTAATATTTTTGTCACATAAATTCTGCTTCAAGAGATACAACCCATTAAGTTATTAAGTACATATAAAAACTCGTTAAACTCACCATACGTATCTGTACTCGAAACTCTTTTCCAACACCGGCTTCGACATCCCATCGAACCAGAACTGACAGAACGTGACGACGGTGGGTTCTTTTCTGTTTATCATCCCCAATATTCTGACTGTAGGGCCCAAAGTGTTGTTGGTCCTGTCGTCTAAGTAAGCTCCGTACAGCTGAAAGGTTCCGTTGGAAGTTTCCAGTGTTTGCCAGTAGATGTTGTTGAATTCCAAGTCGTACATCGAAGGAAATCTAAAAAGATCAGTACCAGTTTCGAATCTATTTTTTTATGGCAATACGAAACTAAATTCGTCGAAATTGAATTTGTTTGAATTTACCTAACTTATATCTTGTAAATAGAGTAAATATTTTTTTTATCTCGCTTTGAGTTGTAGAAAATGTAACACCGTTTAATTCTCGACAATAATTTTCTCTTGATAAAAGATTTATCCTGTAATCAAGCATACTGACTTGGCGCACGATTTGTTGAATCTCGCCGGCTTCTTTTCCCAATTCAGAACTGGGAGATTGGGCAAGTTCTGCTGAATATCCTCCAGAAGATTGTCTTCGGACCAACTAGGACTGTCGTCTGTTAACACCTTGTTAGGATCTATAGTCTCTTTTAAGTCGTCACTTTTAGTTGTCGGGGGATCCGAGTATTTTTGTGTGTAAAAGCTTCTATTAAAGCCTGTCATGGGGACATCTATGAACACCGAGCTGAACTGATACAGGACGCAGATGATGATGAAGCAGAAGATGACGAAACCCAGGAGGAACTTGCTTCCTTTACTGTTGGAGACGACGAGCATCTCGTACGGTTGGCGAGATTCCTGCAACACGAAAATCCCTTAGAAATATGGTTGTATATACAAAATGCATGTTTATTTTTATCTCCAGAATTTGTTATTCAGCGGTGTCTTGGTATTTTTGTTGATTTTATTTAGCTTTATTAAAATACTTGTATTTTTAAACAGTTTTAATATTCGGGTAAATAAAACACAGCCCCTCTGTTGGTTAGACGTATCAATACCTAAAGCGATGTTAGCGCCCTCTGATGGTAAGTGATACTTACATCTAGAGCAAAGCACGTCACAAACCTAGTACAGGGTGTCCCACTAAAGGGCGGCGAGGTACCATTATATTAGGGAAACTATAGGCCCAAAAGCTTCGAGAAAAAAATTTTACCTAATAAATCGACCAAGAGAAATCGATGGAAATAGTTTTCAAGTTCGTAGCTCGGCCGCTAGGGGGCGCAATCTACATACCAAAACATAGAGTTGAATTTTTCTCAGAAATGTTTCCTATTCAGGTATATTAAAATTATGATGATCCTTTTGCAAACATGGCTTTGTTTACCCTATTTAAAATTAACAGACTGTCTTTGTTTGATCATCTTTAAATGCTTGGCATACGAATAGAAATATTCCTTGTAATTTCACTAAGTACATATGGAAATGAAAGCAATTTAGTGTTATTGTTCCGATTTTAATCCAGCATAAGCTTTTAATATTACCACAGTGTTCGTTTCACGTCGTGGTAGGTATATATTTCTTTCTTTTTTTTTGGGGGGAAACACCAAACACTGTTTACTTGGAAAGACAAAGTTCAGATACATTACTAGGGACAATTCTATTGTTTAAAATTTCGACGGCCAGCAGTAATAGTTAATTCCTTAACTACATCATGGACAAATAAAAGAGAAAACACTGTATTTAATACCAACAGAAACATACAAATTACGTGGTCATATTTTGAATTTCTTTTTTGCACACAAATCTGCATCTAAAAATGACGATTACAATATTTTTGCGGTATGTATATTGATTTGTTGTTGTGTTGTTGTGAATACTATAAAAACTTAACTAGGCATTTATTAAAACCTTTTGTGCCACTGGAGAACGCCACTGATTTTTTTCAGACAGTTTTATTAATAACTATAAGCAGCTATAGGTATCCACATATTTGTATATGTGTCTGATATTACAGGATTAATTTTACTTCGCTGTCGAAGGCGTAAACATAAAAATGTCTCCAATACTATTTTATTTTGTTTCGACAACAAACTGAATAATAATTGATCAATGTTATGTACTTGATTAAAAAGCATTGTCAGTATCTGACCCTCAATCCCGGAGAGAAAAGTTATGCACATTTTTTCTGCCATCGAAAAAGCATTGACTGGATGATTTCTTGAACGTCCTTTCGGTTACAAATTTTCTTTAAAAGGGTTGAAATCAGAGGCGGACTGGCTAGATGAACAGGCCCGGGAAACATTCAAGCGGCCCGTTTTTTGAAAGTTTCAGAATTTATTTTATTTTAAATAGGCTCTTCGTGAATGATTTGAAATATTTGAAAAAAGTTAGCCATAGATAATTTGATATTGTTTTAAAAATAATTAGTCTCTCAATTTGTTTGTAGATAAAAATTAAAATCTTAAATTAAAATAATTCAGATTTTTTTAAAATGGATAAGTAGTAGTTGGAAGGTATAAGAAATTAAAGCATTATTCTTTTTAATAAATAAATAATCATTAAAATATATATTTTGTATCAATCGAAAATATTGTGTTGTAGAGCTAAGTATAATCTAAAAATTCAATTTAATATAAAAGGAGATTTTTTAAAAGTGTATTTATATGCTACTGATGCAAAGGGAAATACGTTTGTCAATATTTCTATTCTATTTAAAATTCTGTAACAACATATGATGCAGCTTTTACATAGCTCATGTTTCTTTTTATTTTTTCCTTTATCTTTCTGCTGAGTTTTATCAGTTTCATATTCTGTGATTCCTTCACTTTCACTTTCATCAAATTGACGTGTTTCATACTCGTCCAATGGAGTTTGTACAAGTTTTTGTTCCACTGGTGTGCTAAACTTGTTAATTCATCTCTTAGTTTTTGAGGAGTTATTTCTGGTTCATATATGACCAATTTCTCACACAGTTTGTTAAAAACTGGAGCTTTTAATCCTTTCATGCGTATTGTATCTAAGTTTTTTGGATCCAAAAAGGCAATATCAGCATAAAACTCATTATCCAAAGAGCAGAATCGACGTTCTATAGAAGCTACTACAATATGCATGAAACTCTTACAGAATGCATATAAAAATATCAAACAATTTAAAGTTAATTAATCACATGAAAAGATCTATATAAATACAAAGCTATAGAATAGATAAAAAAAGTAATTAAATTAGGTCCATAAAGTTTTGATGCAGTTTAAGGTATCGAGTTTTTTTTATATTAGTAGAAGCTTATTTTTAAGGAGGTACTAGACTTTTAATTGGAAATACATAATAATTATGGTTGATTTAACTCATTGAAAAATCGTTTTTTGGTCTCCGGCCGCAAAGTACCAACCGGCCCGAAAGTTGCGGTTGGTTGGTTGGTTGGGCCGCTGCGCTAAACAAAATTGATCCTTTCCGGCGCCATCGAGCAAAAAAATTGTACACACACCTCGGAAAGTAAAAAAGAAAGCCTCAGATCACATGTAATTGTCGGCCAAGGTGAAGTCGACATTTCTTATTTTACTGCCCTAGGTGTGTAATATATACTTTTTTTTCATTTATTTCCAAATTTTTTTCCTTGATTTTTTTCCAATGTATTACTCAAAATTTTTTCCAATTTTTGTTTTTCAAATTTTTTTTTCATTAAAAAAAAAATTTTTTTTTTCAAAAATATTTTTCATCCTTCTAACAGCGCGGACCGGCCCAAAATGACCGCGGCCCATCGGGATACCTCCCGAGTTCCCGCATAGGTTGAAATTACTAAATCTTTATAGCTATGGCGCAAAAGAATCCAACGGGATTAAAAATTGTTATAACTTAACAATCTGTCTTTACTTTAAATAATGCTATCATTCTCTAATTCAGTTATGAAAGGAATTATATGTAGTGGAGATAATAAAAATACTTCTTACCTGACGATAGATGTTAGATAGGAGTACCTATTTACCTTTACAACAATCATCACATGAACACAAAGCCGCTGCTAAGTAAATCTAGCTCACTGCTCACCACATCATATATTTTTGTAAGATACAATTCAAAATAAAAACTGCATTCGTTTGATAACACTGATAATAAATTCTTTACGAGTGGAAGCAATGTCCCAACAAAAAAAAAATATTTGGAAAGCGATTATATTTTTACTAAAGTCTACATTACTTTTAACAGGTATACTCGACTTCTGTTCATATCCCAAAAAGGAGTTTCAAATAACTCTACACCTCGTATATCCTAATAATTGTTCCACAATCACAAAGAACTATTCAAACAAATCATACGGCCAACTACTTATACTTAGTAGGTGGTCGACGATATTTTGCAATTTCCTAAGAAGAGTAGGTATATTTTTTAATGTAACTGCCGTTATCTTAATCCTTGGAGATTGATTAAATTTTATCTATTTATTTAATGCTACCGATCAGATAAAATATCGTTTATTAATTTTTATTTTTACTTTTTATATTTACATACCTACACGAGATGTTTTTGTTTTAATTCTCTTTAATGAAGTCGAAGGAAATTGAAATACTTGAATTAATACACGAGTCATTTCCTGGTCGTGTAATTTCCCGTTTTGGTGGTCAGAATTGGACGCCCAGATCATTCAACGCCGTTAGACTTTTTTCTTTGGGGTTTTTCGAATTCTAAAGTTTATGCCAACAAGCCTTTGAAGGTGGAAAATGAGCGCTGTATCAACGAAATTCAGCATTTATGCACAACTGTCATGGGAAATTTCGATAAAAGATACCCGATGTGCTATTCCACACATAACCCTTATTGCATACTTTATGAATCATTAAAAAATGTACAATTTTCTTTCTATCAAAATTACGTCTTGCGTGACTTTTGGGAAATTATTACTCCAAACTAAAACAAGGAAAGCTAGATGAAGGCTTCAACACATTTCAAAAAATAATATAGCTCTTACTAAATGCTTTACAGGTATTTTCTAGATCCTGTTTTACTTTACACCTCAGAAACACCCTGTATAAAGCTATAGTTAGCTTCAAAATGTAAAACTATGTTGACCGATTATTTGTTGGAGAAATATCTTAGAGAATGATTAGCTTACAAGAACTTTAAATTATCTGTTACATCTATTGGAGAAATAAGGAATTCAAAATATATTATCACAATCAAATTTCGATCACGAAATAATCCGATAAGAACCCAATAAGTGGTATTATATTACCGTTCAATACTAATTGAAATATATTTTTGATAAGAAACATTTTTAATCAATCGAAGTGTTGGCAAATATTCTGGAACGTTTAAATTTGATAGCTCACATTTATATTATTGTTAATTTTATTACCTTCATTTATTTATTGGTCACTTAAAAACTCCACTTATGTTACTTCGAACTCATTCCAAGAAACACCGTAAAAAATAAAACACTGTAACAGACCTCCAGATTTTTACTCCAACTTTTTAGGTACCTACAGCTTGTTATCACCCTCTTGTATCCCCACCCAACAAATCCCCAGCTAGATAAAAGTATGGATCGAGTGGTTACTGATTTTAAAGATAAACGTTGATGATTAGTCTTGTATCAATTATTTCTGTCGAGATTTTTGCAACCTGCTTAGCTATTTTTTAATTTAATAGTTTATATGACCTCCTATATCTACTTGATCGATCTTAATATATTCAAGCTTCAGTTACGCCGAAATTGCTTAGGTGTGCCTTAGGGTTCTGTCCTTGGACCTTTAGTGTTTCTCCCTGGACGAAGATATCTAGGCCAAGCAAATAAAATTTTTACTGTAAAAAAGTTCTATCCGCGAGATTATTGTAAAATTGTCTAAAGGAACATAATACAAGACATCTCTCATCTCGCGAGTCAAAAAGTGAGGAAAACAGTTTTTTCACTTTGCAGGGAAAACCATCAATTTTAGTGAAAAGTGACTCGCAGACAGCTTGTAGAGAATAAAATTATCTACAAAATGAGACTTGTTTAATTAAAATCGGTTAATAAACAAAAAAGTTATTGCAAAGAAACAAGAAAAGTGCCCATTTCTTAATTTGTTTATAACTATCGCATTTATTGTTAAAATTTTATAAAACTATGACAAGTTGAGGGTTTTGTCATACTTAAAAAGTGTGCCAAAAGTGGGCGCTGTAGATGTAATAGTTTTCGCACAATTCAATTTGCTTATAACGCAGGCTCCAAAAGTTATGAACTTTAAGCCTCTGTACAGGCGTTAATTTTCAACCAAACATGATTCTGAAAGCGTCATTGTAATCTTAAAGACGTAATTAAGCGACCTATTAAAAAATATCACCGGTTTTTTGACATTAACATTCTCAAATTGTGCATTAAAAAATCCTGCGTTTTTCGCTTATAAACAATTTGAATAAAATTGGTGCTATTTACTCGTATGCTACCTCACCGAATATAGATTCAATGGATAGCTGGCAAAAAAATACAAATTTTAAAAAAAAGCACCCTCTACGACCAACAGGAGCCAAGATAAGAATTTTTTTTTAAATCGTATTGCAATTGTTTATAAACATTAAGGCTTGAATTTTTCGCAAAATAAAGTTTACGACGTAAACTACGATTTCCCGTGAATTGCATTGAAAAATGTTGAAAATTAACGACTCACGAGCCCTTTAAAGAGAAGATATTTGCTAAGTAAAATATCCGGCGTGGTGGTGGGAGAAGCTCGTCCAAGCGAGTCGCGTGCAAGAAAAGTGAAGTTCAAATTGATGTGCGCTGTAAAATTTTGCAATATCTCGGCTTCTATTCATCGTAGAAACTTCTTTTGTTTTAAACAGGGGTAGCTCAACGAAAAAATAACAATGGGTATACTTACGAATTCGTAGAATAGCTCTGAACCCCAGAAAAATGCGTCTTTTATACTGATTTTTTTTTAATTTACAGAAATGTCACAAAAACTATTGTTAAACGAAATATTAATTAAAATTTCCATTTCGGAATTATTTTACTATTATTAAAAAAATAAATGAAGCTATCGTTCATTTAAAAAGTTATTTTCTTATATATTAAAAAACTTATTTTTTCAATATTTTGTTATTTAATTACGATTTAAATGTAAAATTTAAGTAAAAATTCACAAATTATTTTCAAATTATTATTTATTGTTAAAAGATTTAAAAAAGAATAAAATTTGAATTTATTGCAAAATTCTCAAAATTAAAAAATATTAATAAAAATAATGCGGTCGATAAAATTACAATTTTAACTTTTTGAAATATATATACAGGGTGACCCATTAAGAATGGAAACACTCGCGTACAAAGGTTTTTTTTAAAGCTCTATCTTGATGCAAAATTTGAAGACGAAATTTTGATTTTCAAGGCCTACTACGAATTTTTTTTAAGTGAAAAATAGCAAAATTTTGTTAGCAACTTTTTTATAAAAAATCTGACTACACCACTGGATCTAGGAACCCCTCCAATACATTTGTACCAATTTTTGCGAAAAAAAGTTATGACAATATCGGCATCACCAGTGTTGCCGTTGTCGGTGAACCTATTCTTTTAAAGGGAAACAAAATTAAATAACAAACACTGGTTTAATCATTATTAATAAGAATCATAAAAACCAGTATACGTAAAATAAACAACAAGTTCGTCAAATTATTATTATTTCGTGGTTATTATGCCAAAACTTACAATTATTACCTTCTTAGACAAAAATAATTACATTTATAATTTTTTTATTCAAAAAGCCACTGGATTCTACAACCATAATCCAATTATTTAAGAAGAATTTTCTGAAAAAAATATTACGAGATATTCCAGAACATAACGTTGCCTAAAAATGATATGAACAAAATTTGGTAGGCTGTGAAAAATAGAAGTTTAGACAACAAATGTCAAACTTCACAAGTAGTGGCATATTGTAATATTTTTTGTGCATGGTTAAATAAGTTCCATAATTCTTTGTGATGGCTCAAAGTTTAACTTTGCACGAGAAAATTGAAATAGTTCGCCTTTCCGGAGAAAATGATCGGACGGCAAGAGAGGTGTGTATAATTTTTAACAACAGACATCCAGATAGACCTAATATTACGTATAGCACAGTTTTTAAAATAAACAATACTTTTATGGAATATGGTGCTGTATCAAAATGCATTTTAAAAAGGGACAATCAACAGAGAAGACGTATTCACGTGCAGGAAATCTTAAATTATTTTACAAACAATCCTCAGAATAGCCTCAGGATTGCTAGTTTAGATTTAAATTTACCTAGAGATAGTATCCGACGGTGCCTAAAAAAAATAACATAAAACCCTATAAACCTAAGTTTCTTATTCACACTCTGGATCCAGGCGATAATGAGAAACGAATGGAGTTTTGTCTCTGGAATGACTAATGGAATTGTGTCATCACAGAACTCACGGTGTTGGGTTTCAGTAAATCCAGAGTGGATAATTAATTGCCGAAGACAATATAGTCAGAAAGTTAACGTTTGGTGTGGGATACTTAACGAGAGAGTCATTGGTCCGTGGTCCGTTCCTCTTTGAAGGGAATATGAATGGCGAACAATTTCTACATTTCCTTCAGAACGAATTTTTTAATACAGTCGATAATCTTCCATTACAAGAAAGAGTAAATCTACATTTTCAGTTGGATGGATGTCCAATACACAATGCGAGACAAATCAGAGAGTGGCTTAACGAGAATTTCCCCAATCCCAATCATTGGATAGGTCGAAACAGTCCATTAATTCATTGGCCACCCCGATCTTCGGACCTTACCCCACTTGATATTTTTCTGTGGGGCTTTATTAAGTCCAAAGTTTATAAGACACGGCCAATTAACCGGGAGGTATTGTGCACTAGAATAAGGGAGCGTGTGAGGAGATTAACGCGCATCAATTACGAAATGTTGTAAAAAATATAAAAAAACGTTATGAAAAACGTATAGAATTAAACGGAGGATTAGTGGAAGCTACAAAAATTTAAATTTAATGACGTTATTAGTGTACATCAATTTGACACACTCCTTTTTCATTTTTAAAAATGTAATTTTTTAATCATTACTTTTTTTTATCAATTGTTGTTTATATTAGAGTAATTGTTGTTTATTTTGTGTATACTGGTTTTTATGATTCTTATTAATAATTATTAAACCAGTGTTTGTTATTTAATTTTGTTTCCCTATGGGTTTTATTCGGTTTTTATAAAAGAATAGGTTCACCGACAACGGCAAACACTGGTGATGCCGATA